TGTAGAAAGGAACCTAAAACTGTGAGAGCAAAGGAGCCTCATAGTTGGGAAATCCAGGGGAAAGAAAGGTTAGACTGGGAAACGGTGAAGGAACAGATCCTCGCCAGATTTGAGGGAGGCATTTTTTGAAGCTGTGGGAAGAGAAATTTGGAAAGTTTCCCAAAGCCCATTCGATCAAATGTGGCCAGGAAATATCAGTGTGTTAACCTGCCCATTATTGTGATTTCTGAATGTAACCACCATTGACTATACTATTAACTGGCTGAAAATGTCAAATGGAGATTGAAAATCCAGACATGCTAACACAACCCAAAAGTAGGCTGTGCTGCTTAAAGTGAGCAAAGAAATCTTTAAAGGGCAATACCTTAACTACAAGAAACCTTACAACTTACTGAGATTTCTTCACTTTACCAGACCTCCGCTTCAACTTTGAAATATCAAATCACCACATAAACTATACGCCTGCCATGAGGAAACTGGTACGATTATAAACCGTAATAATGCCGTACTGTTATTTAATCTTGGTGTGTGCTACAGTTATGAGAGATGCATGAGAATAAGATTATATTATTTTCAGGATAAGGATAATAAATAAACTTCTTTATTTTTAAATTCATAAGAAGCTTGCTGCTGGATTAGTTTAATTGGGACACTCACTCTTGGGTAAGAAAACATATGTCTCTTGCACATAAAAATATTGATCATGGTCAGTAAACAGGAGTCCATGAATCCTGTCCATAACTGAAACTTCAGTGTAGTAGATACATAAAATTTTCTTGAAATAATAGAGAACAAAAGGTTTTTGCGAGATCAAGGAACTTCCCATTTTTGGCAAAATGTTTAATTGAGTGAGATTCATGGCAGCCACAGTTAACCTTTCTCATGGAATCTTCTTCCCTACAACTCATTAATTATGTCATTGGCATCGTTGGTGTCTATCTTGTGACTTGTGTAGCAGGAGAAGATGATGTGCTCCCTGCTGCTGGGACATTGTAGCATTCACACTGCTGGTGCCAGATCCACAGCACTTAAGGTGCTGCAAGCCAGTAAATAGCCTTCACACACTATTGCTCCACTGTCGTACTGAGGACGTGGCCCAGAAAGGAAAGTTTGCGACTTGCTTCACTGACAGGGATCTGCATGTGTTGTTGGATGGGGTGGAGAGATGACCTTCCTTTTTGCCAACTACCAAAGGAGGCCATGCCACCAGACTCGGCCAGCCTGGACTGAGACAGCAGTCTTGGTCAATGCAGTGTTCCTGTGAAACCAAATGCACAGCAGTACACGCAGAAGGTGAATGATTTTCTGGATACCACAAGGCTATGTACTAGAAATCTGCCATTGCATATGCCTTTCATCAAAGCTTAAAGACTACAATTCTCACTATTGCATGTAGCATTTCTGCTCAACAGCTCTCATCCATCTCATTCTGAACGACCGATATTTCTTTCCCTTTGCACTTCTTAAGCACTCAATGGGGGCATCTCATCACCTCTGCGTCACCTTTCATAATTCTTCAATCCATCTCCATCACACACAACCTTCCTTTTGTCCTATTGCTTGAGAGAACAGAGCGGTCCAAGTCCAATGAGGTGATGGAGGACTAAAGGTTCTTCACCACATAACAAGAGAAATGCTTGATTTGGCCAGAGGAGAACACGGATACTCATGGGAATGCAGATACCTCCATGGGCAACCAATGCAGTGAGCTTCATCGTGTGGCACTATGATGCTCTCCCGTGGCCACCATGACTACCCCATTCTTATCCCAGAGAAGCTTATATACAATTATTCCTTCTTTTCTCTTATGTAGGAACTTGCTGCACCCATGGATCATCCACTAAGAAGATACAAGCAGTAGAGACCCTCAGCCCCATCTCCACCTCTGATGAGGAAACCATTCAACCCTCAGAGGATGCACTGGCAAGGTTTTTGAGTGCACCCTCCACCAGCACGGACATTTTCACCTCTATGGCTTCTCTATCTAGATTAGGCTTGAGACATATTCTGGTGAGCGCAGCACTGACCACAACTCTGCAATTGGTCAATGAAGAAATGTCCCAATCACTGGCATTCAGGACATTTTTTTATTCACTTCTGGGATGTGGGCGTCGCTGGCTGGGCCATCATTTATTACTCATCCCTCGCTGCCCTTGAGCAGGTAGCAGCGAGCTGCCTTCTTGAGCCACTGCTGTTCAAGTGCTGTAGACACATGACCCACAATGCCCTTAGGGAGGAAATTCAAGGATTTTGACCCAGTGACAATGAAGGACTGGCGATACATTTCCAAGTCAGGATGGTGAGTGGCTTGGAGGGGAACTTGCAAGTGGTAGCATTCCCATGAATCTAGGTCCTTCTAGGTGCAAGTGGTCATGAATTTGGCAGGTGCTGTCTAAGCATCTTTGGTGAATTTGTGCAGTGCATCTTGTAGATGATATACACTGCTGCTACTGAGCGTCAAAGTTAGAGGGAGTGGATGCTTGTGGATGTTGCTTTGTCCTGAATGTTCCTGACTTGTGCCTTGTAGATGGTGGGCACGGTTTGTGGAATCAGGAGGGGAGTCTCCTGCTACAGTACTCCTATTATGTGCTGAGTCCAGTTGAGTGTTTCATTAATGGTAACCCGCAGATGTTGATAGTGGGGGACTCAGTGATGGTAACATATTGAATGTCAAGAGATGGTGGTTAGAATGACTCTTATTAGAGATGGTCATTGTCTGGCATTTGTGTGGTGTGAATGTTATTTGCTACTTGTTAGCCCAAGCCTGGATATTGTCCAGATCTTGCTTTATTTGTACATGGACTTCTTCAGTATCTGAGGAGTTGTGAATGGTGCTGAACATTGTGCAATCATCGGCGAACATCCCCACTTCTGACCTTACGATGAAGGGAAGGTCATTGATGAAGCAGCTGAAGATGGTTGGGCCTTGGACACTACCCTCAGGAACGCTTGCAGAGATGTACTGGTTAGAAGTCACACGACACCAGGTTATAGTTCAACAGGTTTTTTGGAATCTCACAAGCTCTCGGGGGGTAGCCTGAAGAAGGGATTGTGCTCTGAAAGCTTGTGTGATTCCAAATAAACCTGTTGGACTATAACCTGTCATGTGACTTCATACTTTGTTCACCCCAGTCCAACACCGGCACTTTCACATCAAAGATGTCCTGGAGCTGAGATGACTGATTTCCAATAAGCACAACTGCCTTCCTATGTGCCAGGTATGACTCCAACCAGCAGAGAGTTTACCCCCCAATACCCATTGATTCTAGCTTTGCTAGGGCTCCTTGAATCCACATTTAGTCAACAGTAGCCTTAATGTCAAGGGCCGCCACTCTTACCTCATCTCTGGAATTCAGCTCTTTTGTCCATGTTTGAACTAAGGCTGTATTGAGGTCAGGAGCTGAGTGGCCCTGGCAGAACCCAAACTGGGTGTCACTGAGCAGGTTATTGCTGAGCAGATGCTGCTTGATAGCACTGTTATTGACATCTTCCATCACTTTACTGATGATCGAAAATAGACTGATGGGTTGGTTATTGGCTGAGTTGGATTTGTCCTGTTTTTTGTATACAAGACATACCTGGGCAATTTTGGGTAGATGTTAATGTTGTAACTGTACTGGAAGAGTTTGGCTAGGGGACAGGGGCAAGCTCTGGAGAACTGGTCTTCAGAACAATGCCGAATAAAAACAAACAAGTCATGTTCAGAGTGGCAGACTACAATTAGCAGGTTGCCTCAAGGATTACTGCTTGTGCTTCATATTTATAATTAATGAATTTGATGAGTGACTGAATGTATTTATTTCAGGTTTTTGTATGTGAATCACAGGAATTAAATATACTGATATGCAAATATGCAAGCAATTAGGAAGTCAGCAGGTTTGTTAGATTTGTTACAAAATTGTTGGAGTATAAAAGGAAATAAGTCTTAGTACAATTATAGAGGGCATTGATTAATGCTATCCCTAGAGTGATGTACTGCAGTTTTGACATTACCAAAGGAAATAAATCCCTTCCCTAGATGAAATACAATGAGGATTTACTAAGTTGTGATGTCCTAATGTGCTGAGAGGTTTATCCTAAGAAGAGAAATTGAGTAGACTAGACCTGTGTTCACTAGAGGTTAATGAGAGATCCTCTTAAGGAGCTCAACAGATTCAATACCGGGAGGGTAATTGCCATGAGTCACTTCTAAAAGTAATGTTTGACATTCTTCGAATAAGGACTGAGGTGAATTTAGGGCTGAGATGAGGATAAATCTTTGCACTCAAAAGATGATGAATCTTTGGAATACTCTGCCCCGGAGAGCTGTGCTTGCTCGGTTGTGTATGTTCAGGACAGAGTTTGGTAGTTTCTTGAGTACCAAGAGAATTGTATTGGACTAATTGAGGAAGATGGAATTGAGCTAAAAGATCAGCCTTGATCTCCTTGAATGACAGATCAGGTTGGAAGGGCAGAATAGCCACAATCTGCTCCTCAATTTTATGTTCTTATGCCTTACACCAACATTATCTAGATTTATTTTAAGATTACTAGTGAGCTCAAGCTTTCCAGTGGGATTTTTACTTGCCTAATGAAGGAAACTGAGCTGGTATGGGCAAGAAAGCAGTGGAAATGGCTTATAAATCCAATATGGGTGATAAGAGGAGAATGTAGCTCAAAATGTTTATAAGTTTCTGACAAAACAAATTTCAACATAAGCTACAGGTATGTTCAGTTGTTTTATGTGAATAATCCAAATATAAATGAATTAACCATTTAAAAAAAGATTTTTTTGAACATCAACATTAGCAACTGGATATGAAGAGGATAGAAACTTGCACTTTCATGGCCTTAAGAAGTCTCAAAGCACTTTAAAAGCTGAAGTATAATGACTGTTGTAAGAAGCAAAGTCTCATTGGGACAATGATTAGATAATCTTTTTTATTTGTGAAGTTGGTTGCTTTATTCTTTTCAAATCTAAATACTTACACTCATTGAAGAATGTATGTTTTAATGATTCTTTATTCAGTAAACAACAGAAACCCAGTAAAAACAGTGTCATCATTGTTGTCTGCAAACAGTCCATTATAAGAATCCCCACCAATTACTTGGAGCCACACTTGATCTCCAGTTTGTAATTGCAGTAGTGTGCCTCCTGCAGCCTGATCCTCACTATTCTGATAGCTATCAAAAGTATTGAGAACTGGAGCACCATTCTTATATAAAGCAACTCTGACATGTTTGACATAGACAGTGATATGATAAACAAAATAATAAACACCAGAAAATACACAGGTAAATTTCCCTGTGGAGAGGTCATAGTGATTTTGGTTGTTGTATATGACTTTTTCAAATTTGATTGGACTGCCTGAACGAGGCCACTTGGAAACTTCTGTCAAGCCAACACTAAATGCACTATTCCTTATCAATGCATTCTCCCCATTGTTCCCTTTCTCCCCTATTTCCCCTTTATCTCCTCTTTCACCTTGAATTCCAGGACATCCCCTGGGGCCTTCACTTCCTACTTCTCCATTGGGACCTCTTACACCAGTTGGCCCAACAGGGCCTGGTAAACCAATATTCCCCTGAAGTCCAATAGCCCCCTTGTCCCCTTTTGGACCTCGAGGTCCTAAGTCCCCTTTTACACCTTGCTGTCCTTGTAATCCTAGTTCTCCCTTTTGGCCTTTGTGTCCAACTGGTCCAGGAATTCCTTTTGGTCCTATTTTTCCAGATGTTCCTTTACTTCCTTGTTCACCTCTTCTTCCTTTGGCACCAGGTACACCGGAGGGCCCTAAAGTCACACAAATAATGTTATTTTAAAATGTGCACTTTTAACATGCCTATATATAATAATTCACTTGTACAAACAGATAATAGAAAGGCATATTTAAGTAACATTTTCCCACCAAATTGACATACCTGGGATTCCTTCAACCAAATTCACATCTCAGGATAATCACAGGAAGTGGCCAATTAATACTAACTCATTTCACCCTATTGACTGCCTAAGCATTTACTCCATCCAAACTGACAAACAGTGGCAGCAATGTGTCTCATGTTGAAGATATACTGCAGCAACTTATATAGGCTCCTTCAACAACAGCATTTTAAAGTTTTTATTCACTCATGGGCTGTAGACACTGTTGGCTCGGCCATCATTCATTGCCCATCTGTAGTTGTCCTTGGGAATGTGGCGGTGATCTGTCTTTTTGACCTACTGCAGTCCACATGGTGGCAGTGACACCCACAGTGCTGTTAGGAAAGGACTTCCAGGATGTGGAGCCAATGACACAATGTAACAGTGAAATTAAGATGGAAGGGTCCAGGCCCGAAACGTCAGCCTTTCTGCTCCTATGATGCCTGCTGTGTTCATCCAGCTCTGCACCTTGTTGTCGCGGATTCTCCAGCATCTGCAGTTCCTACTATCTCTGATTCAAACTAAGATGGTGTTTGGCTTGGAGGTGAAATTGCACCTGTTTGTGTTCCTATGCATCTTCTGTTTTGTTCTTCTAATTGGTAGACGTTATGGGTTTTGAACAGTGCAACTTTTAGCTAGTACCTCACCTTCTGGCTTCTCAAAGCCTGTCCACCATCTACAAGGTTTAAGTTAGGAGTGTGATGGAATACTACCCACTTGCCTGGATGAGTGTAGCTCCCCCATCATTCAAGAAGCTTGACACCATCCAGCAACCCGCCTGATTGGTACTACATCCAAAAAAAACACTCAGTCCCTCCATCACTGGTGCTTAGTCACAGCACTGAGTACTGTCCACCAGATGCACTGCAGAAATTCACCAAATCTCCTTTAGACAGCGTCATCTGAACCCACAACCACTTCCAAACAGAAGGACAAGTTCTGCAAGTTCTCTCCAAGTTATTCACCCATTCAGACTTGGAAATATATCACCGTTCCCTCAGTGTCTTAGAAACAAAATCCTGGAACTCCCTTCCGAATGGGATTGTGGGCATAGTATACCAAATGGACTGCAGTGGTTCAAGGGTGATGAGGGCTGCGTCATAAATGCAACCCTTGAAATAATGAAAAATGGATTAGGCCTGACTTAACCATGCGTACTGAGATAGATGTTTCCAATTCTACTTAGTGGCAGCTTGCAGGAAATCTGACATGGCCTTCTTCAACCTGCAGCCCTCAAAGTGAGGTGTAATTATATCAATGCAGATAGTGGAGTTAGACATTATATTTATCGGATGTAGAGTGGTGAAGGCTGTGAGAAGACCTGTTCGAACTCTAAGTTACGAGGTGTATAGATACAGTAGCTGGGGAGTAGTTTTCTCTAAAATTAGATGTAGTAAATGGGTTAACAACTGGGGGTTCAGTTTTAAGGCAAGGAGCAGAAGGTTTAGAGGAGTTTTGAGGAAAATGCTTACCATCCAGAGGTTGATGGGTATTTGAAAGGCACTGCCTGAGGGGGTGGTAGCATCAGGAACTAACAAAACATTTAAGAAGTATTTAAATGAACACTAGAAATACCGTAGCATTCGAGGCTATGGACCAAGTGGAAAATCGGATTAGAGTAGATAGGTGCTTGATGACTGGATCAGGCATAATGGGCCGAAGGGTCCTTTTCTGTGTTGTAAAATCTCTAAGACACTTTTACATCCTTCATAAAGAATAACACCCAGAACAATACACCGTACTCCAGCTGACATCTAATACAGGTCCAACAGAACCTCCCTGCTCTTGTATTCTATGCCACTCTTAATAAATGTGAGGATATTGTAGGCTTTATTACCAATGCTCTCCTCTGTCCTGCCACCATTGACATGCGCACATTTATACCCAGATCTCTCTGTTCCTGCATACCCTTTAGAATAATACCCTTCATTTTACAGTTTCTCCAGTCTTTATATCAAAAGATATCATCCCACATCACAATGAACTTCATTCGTCACCCATCTGTCCAATTCTACCATATTGTCAATCTCCTTTTACAGTTCTTCCTTCCAACTTTTGTATGTCTGCAAACTTTGAAATTGTCTCCTGCTGACCAAGACCTAGATCATTTCTATAAATCAGGAAAAGCAAAAGTCCCAATACTGACACCTGGGAACTTCTGCTAACGTCGGAGCTTAAGCAA